AGAGGTGAAGAACACTGGCTACTCTTACAGAGGGCCTGAGTTCAATTCCCAGCAACCACATGGTGGCTCACAGCCATCCATTATGAGATTTCTGGTGTGCAGATATACACGGAAGCAGAATGTTGTATACATAATAAATAAATAAAATCTTTAAAAAAAAACTTACTGCAAAGCCAATATAATTTAATATTAAAAAAGCTGATGTTGGCCAGTAATTAAAAACTAGACAGAGTCTAGTAAGAATCCATCGTGTGTCAGAACTCTCAGCATTTGCTTAACTCGATGTTAGTTCGTGCTGGTAAGACCAGGAGGGTCTGATGAATCTCTTTGAGTTTCAGAAAGCCAATCTGGTATTATACTAACCTCTATCTGAATCTGGGAAAGAACCATTAGTTGAATAATGAATAATTCATCAAGGATATATAAAGGTGGAATAAAAAACCTAAGGTTGGCTTATGTTTCAACACCAAATGACTGAGAAGAAAACTTGTTCTCTTATGAACCCTTATGGAGGTAGGATGGGTGCTTATTTCTCTAAAGCCTTATGGAAGTGTGAGGGTGTGTATGTGTGCATATGTGCTGAGATCTGAGTTCAGCGTCTTATACATGCCATGCTATTGTTTCACCAAGTTACATCCCCAGCCCTGGATTTTAAATTTATTTAAAAAAATAAAATAGGATTGACGGGCAGGGCAGTGGTGGCACATGCCTTTAGTCCCAGTACTCTGGAGGCAGAGGCAGACAGATCTGAGACCAGCCTGGTCTACAGAGTAATTTCCAGAACAGCCAGTACTACACAGAGAAACCTTAGCTTGAAAAACAAAAAGCAAAAATAGATTATAGACCTATATTTCAGTTAAGTAGGAAAATACTAAATGTATTTTATAAACTTCTGGGAAAAAAAAGTTGTACTCCTGCTTCATACCATGTACTGAATTCTAGAGATAAATGTGAAAAATAAGAGATCAGGAGATCAGAGAGAAAATTAGATCATATGTTTACCTTGACTGTTCAAATAAATCTTCCTGAGCAGGCCAAGCAATCTAGAAGCTAAGGGGAGTTGACCTTATGGAAACTCCCGGACAGTTATTTCAGCATGCACATCAGAGTTCTCAGGGTTGCTAGTGGCCAGTGCACCAGAAGAGCAAACTTTCTTTTTATCTGACATCAAAAACTTAACAACCAATGCCTAGAAGAGGCAGGTAAGAGGAATCTGTTTTGCCTGGTCTCAAACTGAACCTTTGGGTTCACCTCATCTTTCTGCTCTGCTTCTGCATTAGCTGGTACTACATATTAATCCCCACTGACCAGGTCAGGTTTCCTCTTGAGTGCTATACAGTCGGTTGTTTTAAGGCTTGTGCAATTAAGTGTGAGGCACTATTGGATTAAAGGCTAAAGGAGGCACTAGGTAATCAGACCCTCACTATCACTTAGTTAGAATTTAGTTAGAATTAAAAGCACCAATCTGAAAGAAATATATAAGTAGTATTTCTCATCTTTGGTCATTATGGAAACAGCTGTGTTTCAACTTCTGGACACATGGAGGGGAATACAGGACAATGTGTTGGCCAGTGAGAATTACTGTGGAACTGCAGTAGTATTCTGATTGTATAACCTTAACCTGTTACTTGCATACACTCAGTCTGCTAATAAATAAAATGTATAAAGAAAACTCTGAGGACTGAAGAGGTGTTCATAGGTACAGATGCTTATTGCAAAGTCTGGCAGCCTGCATTTGAGCCCTGGTACACACATGATGGGAAGAGAAAACCATTTCATTCTTTCTTTGGCTTAATAATCATGTTTGCATTCCTACCTCTAAAGAAATGAACCACCAAGTTGATGTAAAGTCTTACAGAAAGTCTTACAGACTAAATGACCAGATGTGATAGTACAAATCTGTAATTCCAGCACTAAGGAGGCCAAGAGGATCATAAATTCAGAGCCAGTTTATAAACCAGGCATATTCACACGTTCCCAGTTCTTGGGAGACTTGAGGCAAGAGAATTGCCACAACTTTGAGAAACCAGCATGGCCTACATAGTGAGCTCAGGCCAGCCTGGCCTACAAAATGTCTCAAACAAACAAAAATAATCCCAAGTAAACCAAACAAGCCCCCCCCCAAACCAAAACATTCTAAACTACCACAAGACCTTGTCTCAATAAAACAAAACCAAAGGCCCAGACTTCATACTGTGTTAACAGGACTTAATGGGGGGAGGAGCTGCAGGATGTTGTTTTAGATAAGAGTGGTTTACCTACTTCTCTACTAAAGAACATAAATGCTTTCCAGTTCTTTATCCCTACACCTAGTAAATGTGGAAATTTCTAGCTTTTAAACTTTGGGATAGGAATTACTGAGGCAAATTTGTACTTCTTGTATAGTCCTGCAAACAGCTTTTCAAAGTCTGTAACCAATTGATCCATGTCTTTTCAACCTCACCATTATGTTTCTTTATGTCCAAATCCTATGGGTTAAAAGGATACACAATGCCAGGTGGCGGCACACGCCTTTAATCCCAGCACTGGAAAGGCAGAGGCAGTCGGGATCTCGGTGAGTTGGAGGCTAGCCTGGTCTACAGAGCAAGTTCCAGGATGGCTAGGGCTACACAGAGAAACCCTGTCTTAAAATAAAACTACAAACAAAAAAATAACCTCCTTGTTTGTTTGGGCAATTTGCTCCTTGTTATTTGGGTGTGTGTGTAAGTCAAAGGACAACTTGCAGGAGTTGGTTCTTTTTACCACGTGGGACCTGGGGATTTGTTCAATTTGTCAGGTTTAGTAACATATGCCTCTACCCATTGAGCCATCTTGCTAGCCCCTTTATGGTTTTTGCATTTTACTTTTAATAGGTTTTATTTCACCTGTATTGTGGGTGAATGTGTATCTAGGAATTGAACCTAGAGCTGCAGGAGTATTAACTAAGCAATCTATCACTGAACTATTATGTCCAGCTCCCCCCCCTTTTTTTTTTTTTACCTTTTATTATTTTCTGTGTGTTTTGTCTGCATGTATGTATGCTCACCATGCAAGTGCCTGGTTGCCTGTGGTGGCCAAAAGAGTTGCCAGTACCTCTGGAACTGGAATTAGAGACTTTTGTTAGCCACTGTTACTGGGTGCTGGAAATCTAACCTGAGTCCTTGAATGAGTAGCAAGTGCTTTGAAAACAGTAGCAAGTGTTTTACCTATGAGCCATCTCTCCAGCCCCTAGCCATGTTTTTGTCTTTGAACTCTGTAGTCCGAGTAGGCTTTGCATTTGGCCTTGGGGAGCTAGAATTAACAGCTTGTGCCAGTAGGCCTAGCACTTAACTATTGTTTCTATGTGAGCAAATCAGATTTCACATACAGTAATACGGTGTGGATGAATGGAGCATTTCAGCAAGATCAGATCAGTGACTGGACAATTATGCTCCAGGTGCAGTTACAGCCACTAGGTCTAGTTATTGGTGAATCCGAGCCTCAGCCGAGTTTACTGAGGTCCCAGAGCAGCCTCACTAGCCCTGTTTGTCCTGCCCATAGCTCATGATGGAGCAGTCCAAGAAGTCCTCTCTCATGGTGGCCCGCAGTATTCTCAACAACAAGCTCATTAGCAAGAAGTTGGAGCGCTATCTGAAGGTGAGGCAGAAAGGCAGAAGTGCTGCCCTAACCCTGAGCTCTTCGTGGGCCTAGTCCCCACACCGTCCCTGTGAATCCTTCCTCTCTTTTAAGGTCTCCATCAATCTCTACAGGGTGAGAATCCTTTCACCGACAGCCCAGAGGAGGAGAAGGAGCAAGACGAGGTGGAGGCGGGCGCTCTGGATGAGGGGACACCAGGAGAAGCGACAGGGCTCGCAGAGGGCGTGCCGGCACAGCCCCCGGTGCCCCTGGAGCCCGCCCCAGAGACTGCGATACCGCCACCTCCACCGCCTCCAGAGGAGGAGGGCGCAGTACCCCTGCTGGGCGGGGCGCTGCAGTGCCGGATCCGAGGGATCCCGGGCCTCGACGTGGAAGACGACGAGGAGGGCGGTGGGGGTGCTCCATAACCCATACCAAGAGCGGAAAGGGCTCGCGCCGCCGAGGCTGGAAGCCCAGCATAATAAAGTGCTCTCGAACCCCAGGTCCTCATTTGTGTTGTAACTGAGGAGTGGGGGCGGGCCCTGGAAAGTGTTCAGAGACTAAGTGAGCGTGCGCGCGGGTGAGAGCGCTAGAGCAGCGCACGCGTGCGCGAACCTGGCCGCTCTTGCGCACTGGCTTACCCTTGAGGCTCAGCTCCTGAGCCTAGCAACCCGGAAGGCGAGGCGGGACGGCGGGGGCGGGCTCAGCTGGAAGCCAACCAATGATAGTGCTCAGGAGGAAAGACGTGCGTCCTCCGTTTTCCAGTAGCAGACCGCACGTTGAACGCATGCGTCCTGAGGAAAGCTAAGAAAAGGGTCTGCTGGCGGTTCGCGTTGAAGACATGGAGCAAAGCTACGGAGGTGAGTGCGGGCTATTTGCAAGCGCGGCGGACAGCTGCACGGAGGTGCACGGGCCTACCGGCGGCCGGAACACTTGCGGGGCCCAGGCCTGCCGAGTGGCAGCCGGAACGCGCGCGCGCCGCTTATTGGGCCTCCGCTCAATCGGTCCCGGGGCTCTGCGTGTGGATTGGCCGGTAGGGCTCCGGGGGCGGATGAGGCGCGGAGGTCGGTGCCGGGCCGGGTTTGTGGAGGCACTCGGGCCGTTTGCACCACGCAAGCCTAGAGGATCTCATCGCGGCCCAGACCCGACCACCCCGGCGGTCTCGATCCCGCCTTCTCTTCCGAAGACGACACAAAATGGCGGCTCAGGGGCGGAGCTAGAGCGTGCGGGGAGGGGTGAGGCCGGCTGGGGTCGCCGGGGCGGCGGCGGCGGGCGGAGTCCCGGGAGTTCCTCTCCAGCAGGCCATCGGTGAGAGCACGTGCCCCGGGGCTTGCTTTCCCGAGCCTCTCGGGCTGCGCGCGGTCAGCCCAGCGGCGCGACCCCCGGAATAACCTGCTTGGGTCTCTGCAGTGTGCGCGATGTGTGCTGCTCTTGGGGTTTTGTGCAAAACCTGATGTTCTCCGACCAGGACCATAGATTAGTCGACCTTCAAGTGTCAGTTTACTGAGGGACTAGATCTCTTGACTAAAAAATGATCGTGGCCTGGGGGCGCCAAGAGGATGGCGAAAGCGGGAATATTGCCTTTCCTAACGTCAATTTCAGCATCTTTTTGCAATTAGACCTCATTTTTCGAGCTACTTTTAATCTCTAAAATTTACCTACAGGAGACAGTTGGAGCACATGGGACGGGGCTCGAAGTGGGCTCAGGGAGTTGCTAATGGCTTGTAGCCGCTAGAGGAAGTATCTTGAGATCCCTGGAACTGGACTTGGCAGAAACCTGAGGTGTGATGAGCACACCTGCTTGGGTATCTTCAGGGACAACCTAGCGCTCTTTGCCTTTGAGATCCTAGTTAGGTCTTCCATTCTTTGCCTTTCCCACCAGCTATCTTTCGCAACCCCGCCTTGACCTCCACTTTCTACCTAGGCTCTTGCAGCCTGCAGTCCTCTAGGACTGTGTGGCCCCAATTATAAAGACCAGTGTCTCACAAGGACACAGTTAGTGCCCAGAGATAGTTCACTTACTGTTAAAAGGGCTGCTTGGTTGACAGGGTGGGGCAGGTACAGTTTGCAGAGATGGAAAAGCAAACGGCTTCAGAACCAGTAAATAAGTTCTCTAACATAGGCAATTCAGCTCCCTCTGCTCTGAGTAGCAACTAGGTATGCTAGGGTTTGCTGAGCTTATGTTCTGTCAGCACTCTGAAGGAGCTATGTTAATGGGTGAGGGATATTCTGGAACGGGAAATGGAAATAACAGTTCACTTTATCAAAGTGAAGTTGTTTGGTAGCCAGAGGCTGTGCCACTCTGGAAAGCTATGTGCTAGACTCCAGGGACACAAGAGAATGTAACCCCGTCTGTCCAGAGTGTTGTAGGGTTGACTTGAATGGCAACAAACACTGGAAGTCAGGCTGAGGCTTGAAAGCTTGGGGCATTGAGTGTTTGGTTACATGGAAACAAACCCTATAGTTGATGTCACCAAATTCCCAGCTTGTTTCTCAGTTATGTGGCATTTCTGGCAGCAATCTGAGCTGTTTTCCCACTTAAGTGGTGGCTGCACCAGTAGGGTGGGTACTATGACCTGGGGCTGTGTAGCTGGTCCTGTGTCCTCATTTTTCTGCTTTGACCCCAGCTCAGCCAGGTAAAGCGTGATTGTCTTCAGTTGCCGGAGTGGATGAGAGAGGGTGCTACATTACATTCCCTTGTTGTAAGTTGGCACTTAATGTGTTTTGTTTTTCGAGACAGGATTTCTCTGTGTAGTCCTGGCTGGCTGGCCTCTTTAACTCACAGAAATCCGCCTGCCTCTCTGCCTCTGGATTTTATTTATTTATTTTTTTTAATGGTTTTTGGTTTTTCGAGACAGGGTTTCTCTGTGTAGCTTTGGAGCCTATTCCTGGCACTCGCTCTGGAGACCAGGCTGGCCTTGAACTCACAGAGATCCTCCTGCCTCTGCCTCCCGAGTGCTGGGATTAAAGGCGTGCGCCACCAACGCCCAGCAATGTGTAGCCCAGGCTAGCCTGGAACTCATGATCCTCCTGCCTCTGCCTCCTTCGGCAAATCCTACCGTCGAGCGCCACCACAACCTCTGGGTTTAAAGGCATGTGCCTTACCAACCCCACTACTACCACTCGGGGGCACTTACTTATGAAAAGGGAAATGCCTTTGGGCTATCTTTAGACTATTTAGAGATTCTCACAACCCTCATTTTCCTGGTGGTGGATAAATCTTGACACATGATCTTTTCACAGGCTATGGGGCATGGAGTGCTGCACCTGCCAACACCCAGGGTAAGTGGTTCCTGCTTGGTGGGTTCAATCATGGGTTCCCCCACACTGGATGCCTCTTTGTAATAGAATCCAACATCAGCCTTCACCAGAGTAAAACTGCCTTTTCTTTTAGTAAATAGAATTCTGCCTGTGTCACTCCACCACCCTCCCAGTGCTCAGTTTTCTTTTAAAATCTGGAAGGGTCTCAGTAAATACTTAACATTGCAAGTGGCCCCGGTAACACCCATCCACCCCAATTAGTCTATATGTAGTCTATATGTGCAAATTGTGCATTTCCTTTTATATTTAGTATGTCATGGAATGTTTTTGTTTTGGGGGTACTTTTCCTGTGACCATTTAGAGGGATAAAACCTATTTTTAAGTCAAGAACTCTTAAAAAAAAAAAAAACTGCGCTAGATATGGCCTAAGCTTTTGCTCATCCTTATTTTCTGAGTCTAGAACCTGGGCCACGCTCAGTCCCTTGTAGGAGACAAAAGCTTCCCTTTTTCCAGTCCTGGGACATGTCGCTAGCACCATGGGAGGCAAGCCAGTTTTCTGTGTATCTTCTGTGTCCCAGGAGGTGATATCTAGGACACCCATGCCACATAATAGGATCTTGTTCAGCTGAGAATGTGGTTTTCCACTGGTGCCCTACTGGTATGATTGACAGTAACTAGATTTTGACTCCTGGTGAGAACTGAGCCTATATAAGGGACTCTGAGGTCCAGGCCACACTGACCTCTCAGTTGACATTCGAGTGTAGGTCAGCATCGTGGGGACTACTGTTAACCTTTCTCTCCCTAGCTTCCCTGGGAAAGTCAGGCTTCCCTGGGAAAGTCAGGCTTCCCTGGGAGAGAAATGTTGATAATGCTTTGTCTCCATTCTGTAAAACATGAGCATACCAAGGACCACTGTCACCACTATCACATCCTGTCTTGTGGTGCAGTGAAGTGGCAGCTGTCTGTAATTCTGACACTGAAGCGCTTCTGTGTTGTCTCTCCTAAGGTGCATATGGAAGCGGTATGGCCAGCTGGCAAGGTAAGACCTGAAGGCTGTCTTGAGGTATTTAAGGGAAGCTCTGAGCAGCCACCCAGAGGGGCTGAGGTATAGGTCCCCGTTCTCCATCCTGGCTGTGTACACAGCTCTGTGGATGGCTAAGAGTTGAGGGGATAGCCGGTGCTGAGGAGTACCAGAGCTAGGCTGGCCTGAGGGGGAGTTTGAACTTTTTGGAGAGGGATTGTGGATACAGTGGAGAAATAGCTGCTTTCTAAAGTCTTTGTCAGTACCCTGAATTGCTGTTTCAAGGTTCTTAGCCTCCTCTGGCGTTGCTTAGGGAACAAATGCTACTATCTTTTAAAGAAAACCTGCTACTGCAACCTGTGGCCACCTGTCTCTGGTCTTGATCACACTTGTATGTTGTGGTATGATGTTGGTGAACTTTTCCCTTCTTGGCAGGCAGAGAGTGCTCCTGAATACAATAATGTCATGGCCAGCCTCATGTACTGAGTTCTGACATGGTTCCTCTTTCTTCTGATAGGTTATGAAAACTACAACTACTACAATGCCCAGAACACCACTGCCACTGTCTCTGCAGGAGCGCCTTATAGTTATGGCCCAACCTCATGGGAGGCCACCAAGGCCAGTGATGGTGGCCTGGCAGCTGGGAACTCTGCCATGCAGATGCCCTCTTTTGCCCCAGAGCCGTGCACTGACAATTCCGACACACTCATTGCCAAGATCAACCAACGTCTGGACATGCTGTCCAAGGAAGGAGGCAGGGGCGGGGCCAGCAGCAGTGGGGAGGGCATGCAGGACCGAGACAGGTGATTATCGCCTTAAGACTTTCCTGGTGGAATCCCTTTCTGGCTTCATTAGGTGGGAGTGGGTACCAACTCTTAGAAGGACGTCTTCCCCACTCTTGTGTGTTAGAAAGGAGTTGGACCCTGCAGGGAGGGGGTTTCTGCAATAGAACTTGAAGGCTAAGCTGTTGGTTGATTTAATTTAGTTAATCTCAGACTCTGTCTTCATCTGGCAAGGGCTTCGTGCTCTTTGTTAGCAGAAGGTCTTGTTCTGAATGTAACGGGGTCAGCTTAGTGTAAAGTTAAGCTGGGGGCTAATGATTGGGTGGCTGTTCCTAACAGGTTGTCCGCTTCCTTTGCAGTTCCTTCCGCTTCCAGTCATATGAGCCCTATGACTCCAGACCCTGTTTGCCTGAGCATAATCCCTACCGCCCTAGCTACAGCTATGATTATGACTTTGACTTGGGGGCTGACCGCAATGGTACCTTTGGTGGGACATTCAATGACTGTCGGGATCCAACACCAGAACGGGGCTCCCTTGATGGCTTCATGAGAGGCCGGGGCCAGGGCCAGGGCCAGGGCCAAGGCCGCTTCCAGGACCGGAGTAACTCCAACACCTTCATACGTAGTGACCCCTTCATGCCACCCTCAGCCTCCTCGGAGCCCCTACCCACTACCTGGAATGAGCTGAACTACATGGGTGGACGTGGTCTAGGTGGGCCCTCCACCAACAGGCCACCTCCTTCCCTCTTCTCCCAGTCCATGGCCGCTGACTACAGCATGATGGGCGTGCAGGGGGTGGGCACTTTTGGTAGCACCATGCCTTACGGATATGGCCGGTCCCAGACTCGGATACGGGATTGGGTAAGTTGACCAAGTGCTGTCAGGCCTTCTTTCTTTTTCTTCCTAACAGCTTTATGGAGGCAAAAAGTTGTATATCTTCCTATAAGTACCTTGCTGTAAGATGCCCTTACTCCCCAGTGTGCAATTCTGCTTTCCACCACTTGGTTTTAGATCATCTCCATCAACTCATCTGTTCTCTGTTCTGGGTTGGCCTGGTGTGGATATTTCATAGCTATAGAATCACACATGGCTTTGTATGTCTGGCTTCTTCGAGTGTGACACTAGCTTTGAACTCCAAATGTATCTTTTGATTTTCGAAGGCTTCTTCCTGCCTTTGCTCTCTTTTCTTCCAAACTCTGATCTTCCTCGGTGGGGGGCATCTTACTGGCCCAGATCAGCAGTACATGGCATGTGCTTGTATCTGTAGCCCAGGAGGAGAGGGTTTGAGCGCTTTGGACCAGACAACATGGGCAGGAAGCGGAAGCAGTTTCCAATGTATGAAGAACCTGATGCCAAACTGGCCCGTGCTGACAGTGACGGGGACTTGTCTGAAAATGGTATGCTCTGGGGACCGCTGCAGCAAGTGGGATAAGGTGATAGGACTTGAGGTTGCATTGTTTGACTGATGCAGCTTTAGTCCCTGTTGTCAGTCTGGTTAGTGAGTTTGGGAACATGAACACGTTCTGGGGGACACCCCACTAGGGGCTAACACTTCTGTTCCCTGTGTCTGGCAGATGATGGAGCTGGTGACTTACGGTCAGGAGACGAAGAGTTCAGGGGGGTAAGTTCACCTTCATAGATTCTTTGTCTCTGGGGTTTCTTCTGTCCTTTATCTTTCTTCCTCCCTCACAGAGGTGAAAATAGCTGTCTTGGTAGACTCAACCACACAACCACATATCTCTTGAGTGCATCCTGGAACAACTGTTCTCTCCCCCCCACCTCCCCTCCTCTCATATGGGATGGTTACATCCCAACCACAGATTCCCCTCCTAGTCATCGGGTCCCCTGTCCCTTCCCCGTCCTGTGTCATCACACACACACACCCCAACCCTTTCCCTTGCCTTACAGTCTTGAGTCTAGCCATCAGTCATCTAATTGTGGGGCTCTTTAGGGTGCCACTGACTGACTACAGCCTGTTTTCCAGATAGCCAGTCACTGGGGAGTGTGAGCAGAGGCCAATTCTTGAGCCACACCACATTCCTGTGGGGGAGGGTATTTTTCTTACTCCCTGCTTATGATGTTAGGAAATTTCCTCTAGGTATTTCTGGTGGTCAGGTGGAGAGAAGGGGTGAGGGTGGGCCAACAGGGTCTTCAATAGCTTTTCTCTTTCGTATGGCAGGATATAGATAGAATCCAGGGCTTAAACAATGCTCTTCAAGTGCTCTGCCACTTCCCACTTGGTATTACCAATAACTTTGACACTTTTCTGAATCTTGTTTGCTCCTCTTTCAGTTGACTTAACTCTTGATGCTGGAAGTCTCTGAAGATGTTAGACCTGCCCAAGGCATTGGCTCTTCTTAAATAATCCTAGGATCTGTATTTATCCTAATTTGTTAGAGCAATAAGCACACACTTGGAAATTTGGGAAAGCCTATTTCCAGTCAGTGCTGAGATTCCAATACCACAGACAAGCTGCTTCTCCCACCAATGGATGGGCTCTTGTTCTGTGGTACAGAACTGTAGGGAATGTTCCACTGTCGCCACTACCCCTCCAGAGGCAGGCTCGGTCACTTTGGAGAAAACCAAGTTGGTGACTATAGAAAAGAAATTAATTACCTTTGTGGCAGGGTATCGTTAAGAGGGCACTTGGGCTCTGTTCTGTGGCTCTGAGGTTTCCCTTACACTGACACTGCCTCATTTCCCAGCACCGTGGTAGGCCAAGGTCTATGGTGAGATCACACACTAGGCATTAGAGCTTGGGCTGGTTATAGAGAATTCTGGAACTTGCCACTTCACTGCCTAACACTGCATGTACTTCTTTTCAGGAGGATGAACTCTATGACTCCAGGAAGCAGAGAGGTAGGCATTACCCAGTATCCCTTACAGCCTTCCTCTATCTGACCCACACTCATTGCTGAGCTCCGTGGCTCATGGCAGAGGAGCTGCAGCTGGGCAGTGGGCCTACACTGTGGCAACCACCCCCAAAGCTTTGGTCCAATGTTTGGGGCAGGATTTGCCTGAAAAGAGTTCATTTGCCTCAGTGGATACAGATATCGGGTAGTGGGAGTTGGGGAGTCCATCTCTGGGTATCCGTGATACCCATGGTAGGGAAAGTGTGTTTCTGGGATCTAAAGAGAATGTGGCCCCTTTTTTATTCCCATCTTCTTCCCATATCCTGGCCCATCTTCACTATTCCTGCCATCTAGTTTTTTGATTTTTGAGGACTTTTTTGTTTGTTTTTTATTTTTTTGTTTTTCTCAGTTGTGAGCCTCTGTCTGTACCCTGGCCTCTGCCAGAAATAATGGCAACTTTGGTGTGTGTGGACAGAGAGCAAATACCTGCTGTGGTTGGTCTTGAGGTTGTGAGAGTAGCCTGTAAGTTGCTCTCAGGCAGTTACCACTAAACAGGTCTTGTCAGTTCTAGGGCAAGAGACCTAAGAGCCCAACAAGGTTATACCACTAGGGTGACTTGGAGAAGCAGCCTGTGCTGCAAGGCCTTAAGATCCCCCTGCAGCCACTTGGTCTTTCTCCCTGTTCTGTGGGCCTATCCTAGCTAGTTACCCTTAAGGGTCACAGGCTAGCCCTTACCCTTATAATGTGAAGGCCTTTGGCTCCTCTAAGAGTCTCAGGTTAGCTACCCTCAGAAGTCCTAGTCCACACATTGAAGTTTTGTCCACAGCGCGGGATCACCCCCCAGCATTCAGCAGCTCATGCAGCCGGGTAAATGCTAAAGCAAAGGTGACATGTTTGTTGCGCACAGGTCCTGCTACCCAACCGGGATGACTTTGCTATTAAACAGCAGTCATAGTTTCAGGCAGTGACCTCTTGCCAAAAGTCCCACACGTCCTTTTGAGAGGCTTCTGAGCAGCGCACGCCGGTCGCCATCTTCGTGGGACAGTCTCGGGACTGGCATCAGGGGTAGGGGTTACAGTTCAGATGCTTATCCAACCTTTTTTCAGCATCCAGCCCTGGCCCTGAGCCTGGAGATGCAGCGTGCTCTCATGCTGAGATGCTGGCCACAGGGCTCTCCTGGGAGCTATGCCAGCCCCAAGGAATGGATGGGAGGACCAACTGGTCTCTTCCCATTTTGTTTTTAGGATTGCTTCCCACTCAGCCTTGGGAAAGTCCAAGGTTGTTGGTTTTGTGAGTGCAAGATAGATATCGGGCCAGCAAGGACTATCAGACCTGCTGAGTCCTTAGTTCAGGTGAGGCTAACTGGATGGTCACCACAGCCCACCTAGAGGTGGGATGGAGGGCGGCGGTGCAGCCTGCTTTATTTCCTGAGGCCTTCCAACGGCTGCCTCTGTGGGGATGTTTGCTGCTCTTTTGATGACTTGGGAGAAGACCCAACAACAGAGTGCTATATTGGACCAGTTGGCTAGGACAGAACAGAGTAGGTGGCCATGAGTGGGATGGGCCTCTGCCCATCAGGCCATGGATGGAGTGAGGCAACTCCTCTGGGTTCTAACAGTGCCTTGGGCTGTTCTGGCTCTGCCACAAAAGAAATGGAAGCTGGGTGCAAGGTGTGGCTGCCAAGCCACAGCATCTAACTTGGCCCTGAGCTGACCTCAGCTGCAGGCTCCTCAGTGTCTCGAAGGGACTTTTCTGTTACAGGAGAAAAGGAGGATGAGGACGAGGATGTGAAGAAGAGACGAGAGAAACAGAGGAGGAGAGACCGGATGCGGGACCGAGCAGCTGACAGGTAAGGGGCCAGTGAGACAGGTTGACTGGCTAGGTAAAATAAAGATCCTCTACTGAAGGCAGTTGAATCTGGGCACTACCATCCTCTCCAATCTCACCAGTCCTCCCTCTGTAGTTCACAGGAGTTGGGTTTGATGTAACATCATCTATCAAGAAGTCTTAGCCAGACTGTTGGGGGGTACAACTTAGAGAAGTGTGTGAAAGATGGGTGTAGTTAGCTTCCTGGTTTTGCTCGGGGAATTCACCTCTGAGACCACCATCTTTCCTCACCTTTGGAATTAGGGCCCTGGTGCTACAACTGTGGAGCTCAAATATGCCCATCAGGAGGTCTCTCTTCCTCCTCAGCAGGCCCAAGGGGTGCCCAATCCTGTCTGCCGACTTGACAGTCAGCCGCCTTGAAAGTGACCTTCATTCAACAGAGGTGGCAAGAAGAGGGTGTTTTGGTTCCCTGTCCAAATCTAGACAATTCAGGGGATTGAGAGTGCGTGCGTGCGTGCGTGCGTGCGTGCGTGCGTGCGTGCGTGCCTACAAGCCAGATTTTGTTTCAAAATAGAAGAGTGGTAAAATGCTCTGATACACCGTGCGTCTGTCCCTCATGATTCATTAAGCAGCTACTGGCTAGAAATCAAAAGGCACCCACCAGTGGCTATATTAGTATGCGTTGCTTCTTGTCACTGTCCTTACACAGCAGGTAGTCTTAACCTACAGAGCCATCTCCCCAGACCAAATGACCTCTTAAATTTGATTTATCATGGGGTAGGGCATGTGTTTGTGCAGAGATGTTTTCCCCCCTATGTGCATGCTTATGTGCGTCTGCCACAGCATGCTTATGAAGGTCAAAGGACAGTTTGTAGGAGTTGGTTCTCTTTTCATTGTGTGGTTTCCTGCAGATCCACACAAGTCTTTAAGCTTGGTGTCTAAGTGTCTTTACTCATTGAACAATTTCTCCAGGCTGTAACCCTTGGTCTTAAGGCAGCATACTATCATCATTTTCCCATACAGAGAAATGCTTAACAGCCAGGCAGTGGTGGCTCACACCTTTAATCGCAGCACTTGGGAGGCAGAGGCAGAGACAGAAAGATCTCTGTGAGTTCAAGGCCAGCCTGGTCTGCAAAGCTACACAGAGAACCCTTGTCTCAGAAATGCTTAGCAAAAGGGGTAACAGTAGAAGCTAGGGATCCAAGAGCAAAACAAAGTTACCTTTTCCTAGAAGCTCATCGAAACATTTGGTTTGGGCTGGCATGATGACTCAATGGATAAAGTCAGTTGTTCCACACCTGTTGACCTGGGTTTGATTCCTGGGATCTACATGGTAGGAGACAGCCAGCTCTCACAAATTGTCCTCTGACCCGCACAAACACATACCCCACTCCCCAATAAATGAAGTCTTTCAAAAGCCATTTGTTCTGGGGTAATGGTTGTGTAGGTAGAGCACTTGTTTGTAAGCATGATGACCTAATTCAAATGCCCAGCACCTACAGGAAAAGCCAAGCATAGACATGTACATCTGTAACTGGAACACTGGGGGATGAGACAGAAGGATCACAGGGATTTGCTGGCTGATAGCATAGCTCTCCAGGTTCAGTGAAAGACCCTGTCTCAAAGGAATAAGGTGGAGAATGACAGAACAGAACATCTGACCTCTAGCATCTGGATAGGTGTGTATGTCCACACACATAAGCAGGCAGACTTGTAAATGATGAGAGGATTTGGGTCTATTTTCATGCCAGTCAGAAGGTGAGAAGACATTTATTTTTGTGATGTTGGGGATGGAACCCAATGCATGCAAAGTAAATGCTGTAATAACTGAATTACATCTGTGGCCTCATGCCTCCTGTTTGTTTTGTTTTGTCTCTGCATTAATGACCAAGGATTTCAAAGGAATTTAAGATTGTCAGAGAGATCCAGGCATGGTGGTGGTGCACACCTTTAATCAAAGCACTTGGGAGGCAGAGGCAGGTGGATCTCTGAGTTTGAGGACAGCCAAGGCCACACAGAGGGAAACCCTGTCTCATAAAAACAAGATTGTCGGAAAGGAGAATAGAATCGCAGCATGAAATGTCAGCCCCACAGCTCTTTAGTAGTTTTTCAATCAGCCAGCTCAAAGGGCCTTTTCATTCAGAGAGTTCTCTTTGGCTCAGAGCAGTTGGTATTTTGGAAATACTAATGGAATTTTCAGGAAATATTTGCAAGGCTATATCCCACTCTTCAGACAGGAACGTTCACTAAGTTGTTTCCTAGATGGGCTTACTGGCTCAACACCTGAGAGACAGACTGAAATACAAGAAGAATCCCATTGCTTTTGCATTTCTGTACCCAGAGATGAGCTGGTGAACCCTGTATTACCACTCCCTTCCTTGTTTCCTCTCTAGGATTCAGTTTGCCTGTTCTGTATGCAAGTTTCGTAGCTTTGAAGATGAAGAAATCCAAAAGCACCTGCAAAGCAAATTTCACAAAGAGACATTGCGGTTTATAAGTACTAAACTGCCTGACAAGACAGTGGAGTTCCTCCAGGTAAAGAGTACTGCAGTGCAGTGCTGGTGGAAAGCCCTGCATGCCAGTGTTAGTGGCCTTCAGAGGGCTAAGGAGAAGGAGGGGGGGCCTAAATATAATTTCTTTCCCCAAATTAGAACTATGTGTCACAGGTTTTGCCTGTGGAGCTGGAGCTACCACAGTGGCATCTTCTTGCCCTTTGTGTAGTTGAGAAATAGGTGCCCCGCATAGTGTGTTCTCCTCTCATTTGGTGGCATCTCTCTATTCTTCCAGGAGTACATCATAAACAGGAATAAGAAAATTGAAAAGCGGCGTCAGGAATTGTTGGAGAAGGAAAGCCCTAAACCCAAACCAGATCCATTCAAAGGTCAGTAGGGATCCCAGTGTCCATGCTATTCTAGATGTTTTGAAAGGGGCAAAGCATGTTTCCATGTAGGCTGGGATTCCAGTTACCACAGCTCACAACCTTCTGTGGCTCCAGTCCCCGGATCCAATGCCCCCTTTTGTCTTCTGTGCACATAAGATTGAAGAAGAAGGAAAATTATGGTGCAGAAACTTGTACACTTCTATATGTTACAGTACTTAGCTAGCATGCATGAGACCTGGACTTGTTTAATCCCTACACCATAAAAACCAGTCCAGGAGCTAAAGAAACAAATGCAGTGGCATTTCAGAACACTGGCTGATCTCCCAGAGGTCCTGGATTTGATACCCATCACCAGCATGGCAGTTTACAACTGTCTGTAACTCCAGTTCTAGGAGATCCAGTGCCCTCTTCTGGCCTACTTGGGCACCAGGCACAGACGTGATGGACAGACATATGTGCAAGCAAAATACAAGTCCTTTTCTTTTTCTTTCTTTCTTTCTTTTTTTTTTTTTTTGATTTAAAGAAGATGAGCCCACTGTTCCTAGAAAAGCTTAGGATTCAGATTAAAAAATACTTGAGATTAATTATAAAAGAGTTTAGAAGTCAGGCGATGGTGGCGCACACCTTTAATCCCAGCACTCGGGAGGCAGAGGCAGGCCTATCTCTGTGAGTTCAAGATCAGCCTGGTCTACAGAGCCAGTTCCAGAAACAGCCTCCAAAGCTACACAGAGAAACCCTGTCTCAAAACAAATCAAAAAACAATGCAATGCTAGCCCTGGGTGTGGTGAAGTGAGAACACAGCTGCATGACTGTTTACCTAAGTGACACATGACACAACCTGCTGCTGCTGCTCTCTCCTTGCTTTAGACACAGCTGCAAGGGTGAAGCATGGACATAGCACTCCTCACAGTGGGGATGTCCAGGAGGGTGAGCTCCACCCTGTCAGCTTCTGTCCTAATGATGTCCTTAGAGAGTGACACAGGGAGACTGTGGGCCTTGCTGGAAAGGAGAAAGAACTGCTTATTTGGGTTCCATTCCAGGGATTGGCCAGGAGCATTTCTTCAAGAAGATTGAAGCGGCGCACTGCTTGGCCTGTGACATGCTGATTCCTGCACAGCACCAGCTCCTCCAGCGGCATCTGCACTCTGTGGACCACAACCATAACCGGAGGGTAAGTCTTCTTTTGATGCAGTAACCACTCCTCTGCTGCCAGTTGAATGAGGTTAGACCCTCACTGTTACACCAGGAATGCTCACATCATTAGCAGGCCTTGCAGTGAGTCTGTCATCTTCCTGAAAATGCAAGTTGGGTTTCCTACCTACTTGGAGGCTGAGTTGAGAGACAGACTTTCATTCTCTCGTTCTCTTGTTTCAAACACGTTCTCACTGGGTAGCACCAGCTGACCTAGAACTCAAAGACCCACCTGCCTCTGCCTTCCAAGGACTAAAGGTTGTATACATCCACACCCATCCTGGCCCTCTCTTAGCGGGAGAGGCATAGAAATTTGGTAGGTGGATTGGCTGTATATAGTAGCTGAAATTCTGAATTGAAGCTGAAGTTTCTCAGTTGCTTGAAAACTGGGTTTCTGTGAGGTGGCCTAGGTAACCAACCAGGGTTCTAGGACTGTTTTATTTTTTTGTTTGACCCAGGGGTTAGCAAGGTTTTGTTGTTTCTCTCATAAAATGTCTGATCATAAATATAGTTGGCCTACATCTGTAAATTCCATAATCACAGATTGAACCAATGGGGGATTGAAAACATGGTAGAGAGTCAAGCAATGGTAGCGCATGCCTTTAGTCCCAGCACTTGGGAGGCAGAGGCAGGCAGATCCATTTTATAGGACATTTGAATGTCCTTGGAATTTGTTATCTGAAGGGACCAAGAACTCAGTCAGTTCCCTGTTGTTAGAACGGCTCTGCGGGTCCAGAACATCTGATCTGTGCTGTGTGGCACAACTGCTGTAGATAAGCAGAAGCAACGACAGTTGATAAAGAGTGGATATGGCTACATTGCTGGTTAGCATCTCAATCAAGATAGAGTACCAGTGGCTGCCTACCCATCTCTTAGTGCTTGAGGGTTTGTTGTTGTTTTGTTTTAGAATTACTTATTATGTATACAGTGTTCTGTCTGCATGTATCCCTGCAAACCAGAAGAGGGCACCAGATCTCATTACAGAAGGTTGTGAGCTATCATGTGGTTGCTGAGAATTAAACTCAGGATCTCTGGAAGGCCAGCCTAGTGTTCTTAACCACTGAGCCATCTCTCCAGCCCCCTGGTTTCAGTTTCTCTGTGTAACTGCTCTGACTGTCCTGGAACTAACACTCTTTGTGTGCTAGGCTGGCCTAGATCCGCCTGCCTCTGCCTCACAAATGCTGGGATTCAAGGTGTGCGCCACCAGCACGTGGTGATTTATTATTTTATGTGTATAATTGTTTTGCTTGTTTGTGTATCTGTGTACTATGTGTCTGGTGCCTTACCTCTGCATACAATAAATGGTCTTAGGTTTCATACCTGTTTTTGTCTTAGAGTATGAGCTTTCCATTTAGTTGCAGTGTTTTTATTTTTATTTATTTGTTTGTTTTTTGGTTTTTCAAAACAGGGTTTTAATGTGGCTTTGGAGGCTATCCTGGAACTAGCTCTTGTAGACCAGGCTGGTCTCAAATTCACAGAGATCCCGCCTGCCTTTGCCTCCCAAGTGCTGGAACTAAAGGCGTGCGCCACCACTGCCTCGCTGCACTGCTTTTATTTCGGGGGCTCTCTGGTACTTTCTTTCATATTTGGCATTTTTGAGTTTTCCTCCAAAATTAAGGAAGGTAGCAGTTGCATGTCATGACACCTTGGCATAGTATTCTATTTTCATTTCTAACTGTGATAAGATACCCTAATCGGGTACACCATGAGAACATAGCCTACAGAATCAATTGACCGTGACTCATGGGGACTCTCAGAGATCAGGGAGTCTGTAGATGTCTGATCTAGGTCTTCTGCATATATTATGGCTGAGTAGCTTGGTGTTCTTGTGGGATACCTAATAGTGGGAGCAGGGACAGTCCCTGACTTTTTTTGCCTACTTATGGGACCCTTTTCCTTCTACTGAGTTACCTTGGCCAGCCTTGATGTGATGGTATGTGCTTGGTCTTATTGTAACATATTATGCCCTGTTTAATTGATGTCTGTTGCTGGGAGGCCTGCTGTTTTCTGAGGGAAGACAGGGATGGTGTGGATCTGGGAGAGGGGAGGAAGGGAAAACCCATCTGGATCTAATATATGAGAGAAGAATTACAAAAAAAAAAAAATACCCTGACCAAAAGCAACTTAGTGAAGAAAGGGTTAACAATTCCAGGATTATAGCACATCATTTCAGGGAAGTCATTTGTCACATCTATAGTCCAGAACAGAGAGAGATTGAATGCATGCTTTGTGCTCAGCTAGTTCTCTCTCCTTACAAGTTCAGGGGTGACTCAAGCCAGCTTGATCTATACAGTACAACATTGAGACTTTATTCCAAGTGATTGGGTTGTGCCAATTTGACAGATAAATTAACCATCACACATGCTAGCTAGTCCTCTGGTTTTTCTTGTCTATTTTAAAAAGCCTTCTTTTGGTTGCCTTTTTGCAGTTGGCTGCTGAACAGTTCAAGAAAACAAGTCTTCATGTGGCTAAGAGTGTTTTGAACAACAAACATATAGTGAAGATGCTGGAAAAATACCTCAAGGTTTGTGTTTGTGAATCTAGTGAGCCAGAAAGGCCTTGAGTAAGGGAAGATTTGTATGAAATGTAGCCAGAGTACAATGTTGAGCATTTCTGAATTTTTAAAAAATATTTATTTATTTATTTGTTTATTTATTATGTGTGCAGTGTTCAGTTTGCATGTATGCCTGTAGACCAGAAGAGGACACCAAATCTCGTTACAGTTGGTTGTGAGCCACCATGTGGTTGCTAGGAATTGAGCTCTGGACCTTTGGAAGAGCAGGCAGCACTCTTAACTGCTGAGCCATCTCTCCAGTCCCATTTCTGAATATTTATTTATTTAATAATTTGTTTCTGAGACAAGGTTTTCTTTGTAACAGCCCTGGCTGTCTGGAAGTCTCTAGACCAGGCTGGCCTCGAATTGAAAGAGATTCACCTGCCTCTGCCTCTTCCTCCTGAGTGCTGGGATTAAAGGCGTGTGCCACCATATCGGGCTAGAATTTCTGGATTTTGGGGGGGGAAAGTTGAGGGATATTAAAACACACGGGGGCTGTATCTGTGACGATGGAGGATTTCTAGAGACTTGGTACCTTACAGCCTTGTGACCTTGGGTTGTGATGCTCTTTAGTGGATGGCTGGATCATTGCTGCTTGCATTTACCCCAAAAAGCCATCCAGGCTAGGTGCAGTGACACATGCCTGAGTCCCAGCTACCCTGGAGCCATGCGGGGATCTCCTCAGCCCAGAAAACTGAGGACAGCATGGGAATGTAGGAAGACCTGGTCTCATAAGAAAATAATGAAACAAACCATAAATCAAATGAAAAGTATTAAAGCAGGTTGTATGGTGACACACACCTGTAATACTAGCACTTGGGAGCCAGATGCAAGAGGATAACTGAATTTAAGGCCAGCTAGGGCCATAATAACAAGCGGAAAATAGTGCCAGTGGAGTCTCTGGGTGGCACTAGTGATGGAGTACTTGTTTAGCATGTGTGATGACTTGAATGTGATTTCTGACACTCTCCTCCCAAAATGAGTGTGACAATTAACAAATTGGGGTTATGAATTTGAGGGCAGAGGGGTACATGGGAAGGATTGGAGCAAGGAGAAAGGAAATGGTGTGAAGTACTTCTGTATGCGTGAAATTCTCAATAAATAGAAATAATGGAACTCTGAGTGGGTAAGCTTTGAGAGCTGAAAGCTGCAGTCTACTGCTGTAGTCTACTGTTTCGTAGACTCTGTTCCCAAAAACAAGAGCTCCTCACAGCTGGGCCTCTGTCTGGCTCTAGCACTGATTTGTGTTTCCTCTTTGACCAGGGTGAGGATCCTTTTGCCAGTGAGACAGGTGATCTTGAGACAGAAGGAGATGAAAATGTAGGAGGAGAGAAGGAGGAGACGCCAGAGGAGGTAGCTGCAGAAGTCTTAGCAGAGGTGATTACAGCAGCGGTGAGAGCTGTAGAGGGGGAAGGAGAGCCAGCCGCAGAGCATAATGAAGTCCCAGATGAAGTGGAAGGCCCTGTGAACACCATGGAGACCAGTAGTGACCGCCACACTGAAAAGCCGCTGGAAGAGCGAACCTGTGAAACAGCGCCTGAAGACGGGAACCCTGAAGACAAGGCCAGAAGTGAGGCAGTCATGCCAGCAGCAGAGACAGAGAGCACCATACCTGTGACAGCTATTCCAGGAATCATGGACGATGATGGAGTGGGACAAACTGATGCAGACTCTAAAGATACTCCCACTGAGTGACCTTTTCTTCCGTTTCAAGGGATGTGTTGTCTCTTTGATTTATGAGCAGTACTAGGGTGTGTGTTACTGGGTGGAAAGACTCAGCCGGTTCCTTCCCAATATACCTCAAGGGCTGATGCTATACAGTGGATGGCTTCCCACCTCTGTTAGGATACAAAAAGAGGTAAATCATTTTCCCAAGTGGCCTTTGATGGCTGTTTGTGCACTGCAGTTAAAATAATAAAAGACCTTCCTAATACTTGTTAATTACAGCAACTGAGAGAATGTGGGGGTTTTGTTGTTATTTGCTTGGAAAACAGCTTGATGATAGGAATATAACTTGCTCAAGTGTTTTGGGGGAATTGTGGAGGGGTTTGCTGTTGGGTTTTTGTTTTGTTTTCTATGGGGATTCCCTTATTCACCCAAATGGTATGTGATGTGGGACATACAAGTTTAACCGTCCAGGTCGGTGAGAGCTGAGATTGTGCCCCCTCTACATCTGTCCTCCAGGAAATGGTCATGCCTAAGGGCAGGTTTTTTGTTTTTTTGTTTTTTTTTTTTTTTTTGTCTTTATTTTAGCTTTGGCATTGAGATAGCATGTTGCTTCCCACTCTGGCCTCAACTCAATCCTCCTGTCTCAGCCTCTGGAGTACTGGGACCATGTATATTCAGCCATGCTCAGCTAGGCTTTGCTTTTTATAATACACTGTATTCTATGTTCCTCACCAGATATGGCAGCATCCTGTTAGCATTAGGCATCTGCCTTGTCACTGCAATGACCTTGGCCTGTGCATGAGGTCTGAAAAAGACCTGGTGCTGCTGTTCCATAGGAAGCGTACCCCCTGGTGCTGCTGTTCCATAGGAAGCATACCCCCCCCCCTGAGCCTCTAGAACTGTGACACTCACTGCCAAGGGCATTCTTCTCCATGTTCAGTGCTTGCTAATTAGGTTCATGTTTTGTCACTTTTGTGTTCCTTGTCTCCATTAATGTGGGATTTTAGGGTTTGGATTTTTGTTTTGTTTTTTCCTTAATTCTGTTATTCCCACCTATTTAGTATTTAGGAAGAAAACATGAAATTACTCCATTAATGGAAAATAAATATAAACTTCCATAGCTGGGATCTATCTGTAAAAAGCTCATACAGTTAGTGAAGATGTTTCCATGTTCAGCAAATAGTATTCGTTTGGCAGTTCTGAATCCTAGAAAGGAAGGCTTAGCATGTCTTAGGTAGCATTGCCAGGTTTTTAGGATCAGAATGGTAATTTTTCTTTCCCCCTTTTGAAATTACAATGCTGTGTCCGTCCTTGACTGTACACAGCTCACATCTTGGAAACATGAACCAGTGGGAAATAACTATAAAAGAGGCAATAAAATACTGCAGGGATTCCATCAGCACTCCTGTCAAGGAGCATTACTGGGATATGAAATGAACTGTGATGGGAATAGCAATGTCAAAACTTAATAAGCAATAAAGTAATGCCACTGAAACACTTCTGTTCATTGCTGCTGTGTAGATGCGGGCTGAAGAGTGTTTTGTACTGGGAAAGGAACCTAGGCCTCATGGCAAGCAGAATTCTTTTTTCTTTAACACTAGTCTATTTATACATGAACGTACACCATGGTGTGCATACGGAGTTCAGAGGACAACTTGTGGGAACCTCCCTTCCAGTGTCATGGGTCCCAGGGATCCAACTCAATATCAGGTTTGGCACCCTTACCTGGTGAGCCATCTCCAGCTTTGTTTTTGACAGTCTCCCTATGCAGTTCTGCCTCAGCCTCCAGAGTATTGGGATTACAAACAAAAAAAAACATGTTGTCAGTTGAATAGCAATGTGAAGAACAGACTAAGAAGTTTTGGAGACTGGGCTTCTCTGTGTAGTCCTGGCTGCCCTGGAACTCACTCTATAAGCCAGGCTGACCTCAAACTCAAGACATCATCTGCCACTTGCAACTTCCTCCAGTGCACCACTGCCACTTGAGTAGGCAGGCCTGACATTGAGAAACATCTGATTTTTCAGTGTGTGTTCCCCCACTCAATGTCAAACTGCATGGATTGTTTTATTCTTGTGCATTGAGATAAGTAAACTCACCAAGATCAGGAATAATTAATGTGGGTTGAAAAATGGGGTACCGCCGGGCCTTGGTGGCGCACGCCTTTAACCCCAGCACTCGGGAGGCAGAGGCGGGAGGCAGAGGCAGGCGGATCTCTGAGTTCGAGACCAGCCTGGTCTACAGAGTGAGTTACAGGACAGCCTCCAAAGCCACAGAGAAACCCTGTCTCGAAAAAACCAAAAAGAAAAACAAAGAAAAATTGGGTACCTCAGGGGGATTGTGTGGCCTATCTCTGTGAGTTCGAGATCAGCCTGGTCTACAGAGCCAGTTCCAGGACAGCTTCCAAAGCTACACAGAGAAACCCTGTCTCAAAACAAATCAAAAAACAATGCAATGCTAGCCCTGGGTGTGGTGAAGTGAGAACACAGCTGCATGACTGTTTACCTAAGTGACACATGACACAACCTGCTGCTGCTGCTCTCTCCTTGCTTTAGACACAGCTGCAAGGGTGAAGCATGGACATAGCACTCCTCACAGTGGGGATGTCCAGGAGGGTGAGCTCCACCCTGTCAGCTTCTGTCCTAATGATGTCCTTAGAGAGTGACACAGGGAGACTGTGGGCCTTGCTGGAAAGGAGAAAGAACTGCTTATTTGGGTTCCATTCCAGGGATTGGCCAGGAGCATTTCTTCAAGAAGATTGAAGCGGCGCACTGCTTGGCCTGTGACATGCTGATTCCTGCACAGCACCAGCTCCTCCAGCGGCATCTGCACTCTGTGGACCACAACCATAACCGGACATTCCAGGACAGTCAGAGCTACACAGAGAAAACCTGTCACATAAAAATAAAAAAAAATAGGCCGGGCATTGGTGGCGCAGCACTCGGGAGGCAGAGGCAGGTGGATCTTTGTGAGTTCGAGGCCAGCCTGGTCTCCAGAGCGAGTTCCAGGATAGGCTCCAAAGCTACACAGAGAAACCCTGTCTCAGAAAATAAAAACAAAACAAAACAATAAGTAAATAAATAAAAATAAAAAACACGGAGTAATTACCACAGATGACCAAGACGATCAGAAAAAGATAATGAATTGGTGTAGATGTCGGGTTTCTTTTCCTTTTTCTTAAGTCAGCAACTCAGCATAAGCCAAACATGGTAGCACATACATTCCCGGCATTTGGCATGTTGGAGTAACAGGGTAAGATAAAGACCTTGTGTCTACCCCCAAAGAGAACACTCGGGGGACTGAAGAGATGGCTCAGAGGTTAAGAGCACTTACTGCTCTTCCAGAAATCCTGAGTTCAATTCCCAGCAACCACATGGTGGCTCACAACCATCCCTTATGAGATCTGGTGGCCTCTTCTGGTGTGCAGATATACATGGAAGCAGAATGTTGTATACATAATAAATAAATAAAAATATATTTTTAAAAAAAGAGAGAACACTCGGTAATAGCCCTGCTGATTTCCTTTTGTTGTTTGCATTTGGTTTGGTTGTTTTGGGTTTTTTTGGTGTTTGTTTGTTTGTTTGTTTGAGATAGGATTTCTCTGTGTAACCCTGGCTGTCTTGGAACTCTACACCAGGCTGGACTTAAACTCAGAGATCAGCTGGCCTGCTGGGATTAAAGCTTCAGGCTCCAGCTTGTTTCTTTACCTCGAAAACTCGCTCTGTAGACCAGGCTGGCTTTGAACTCACGGAGATACACCTGTCTCTGCCTCCCAAGTGTTGGGATTAAAGACATGCACCACCAACTCTTGGGAAGACCAGCAAAAACTTTTTTGTTTGTTTGTTTTGTTTTGTTTTTTGAGACAGGGTTTCTCTGTGACTTTGGAGACTGTCCTGGAACTAGCCCTTGTAGACCAGGCTGGCCTTGAACTCACAGAGAACCGCCTGCCTCTGCCTCCCGAGTGCTGGGACTAAAGGCGTGCGCCAACAACGCCCAGCTAAAACTTTTTAAAAAGACATTTATGTATGTGTATGTATATGCCACAAATGTGGTGGTACCTGTGGAGGCCAAAATCCTTAGATACCCTGGAATTGGTGGTATAATCAGTTGTAAGTCTCCTGACATGCTTGTTGGGGACAAAAAAATATTTACTTTTAAAATATTTCTTAAATGTATTTATTATGCATACAATTTTCTGCCAGCATGTATGCCTGTACACCAGAAGAGGGTACCAGATCTGGTGCTAGGAATTGAACTCAGGATGTCTAGAAGAGCAACCAGTACTCTTAACCTATGAGTCATATCTGTTGTAATTTTAAAAAGAAGTGTGAGAGCTTACATGGGAAATTTTTTTTTTTTTAATTAGGGAAAAGTGATTGTAAAAAGGTAAAAAAGGGAGTCTACAAGAGTGAATTCCAGGACAGCCTCCAAAGCCACAGAGAAACTCTGTCTGGAAAAACCAAAATAAATAAATAAATAAATAAAAAAGGGGAAGGGGAGTGAGGAGACCAGTCTCTGGGATAGGAGGGGGGTTGGGAAGAAAGAGAGAGAGGGAGAGAAAGAGGAAGATGGAAGGTGGGCAGGGCCTTTTTAAAGGGGAACATAGTGAACATAGTGAATATGTACAGTTTTTACATCTGAGGGCATATCCTGCCAGAACCCCAAGAGCAGGCCAGTACAAACTCCTGAATACTAACAATCTCTCCAGCCCTATATAAAATATTTTTACTTCTTAGGGCCAGAGAAATGGCTCAGCAGTTAAGAGCACTGGCTGTTCTACTAGGGGACCCAGGTTCAATTTCCCAGCACCCACATGGCAGTTCAGACTTGTCTGTATCTCCAGTTCCAGGGTTTCAGACACCCTCCTACAGACATACATGCAAGCAAAAAACACCAACATGCATGAAATAAAAATGAGTAAAATTCAAAAAATATTTTATTTATTAATTTTATTTTATGTGCATTGGTATTTTGCTTGCATGTATGTCTCTAGTAGGATGTTGAATCCTCTGGAGCTGGAGTTATAGACTGAGCTGTTATATGGGTGCTGAGAATTGAACCTGTGTCCTCTGGAAGAGCAGCCAGTGCTCTTTTTTTGGGGGGGAGGGGGTGGAGACAGGCTTTCTCTGTGTAGCTTTGGAGACTATCCTGGCACTCCCTCTGGAGACCAGGCTGACCTCGAACTCACAGAGATCTGCCTCTGCCTCCCGAGTACTGGGATTAAAGTCGTGTGCCACCAACACCCAGCTTATGGCCTTATTCTTTATAAAGTTTTTTTTTTCTAAGATTTTATTTATTTATTATGTATACAGTCTTCTGCCTGCATGCCAGCAGAGGGCACCAGATCTCATTTAGGGTGGTTGTGAACCACCATGTGTTTGCTGGGAATTGACCTCAGGACCTCTGGAAGAACAGTCAGTGCTCTTAACCTCTGAGCCATCTCTCCAGCCCCGGCCTTATTCTTGATATGGGCCAGAGTATGATTCTGAACTCACAATCCTACCCTTATCTCTCAAATGCTGAGATTATAGGCATGCCTTGCTGATAACTTTGTTCTGTTATGTGACTACAAAAATTTCATGTAACTGTCCTTTGAGGCAACCTGAATCTGTGTTCCTAGGCCAAGGATGACTCATTCCCTTTGGGGTGAAAGTGTTTTGTGTCAATATGTGAGATCTACCCTCACACAAATTTTTTTTCACTCAACTGTTCGTTAAATGTACTTTTAATTTTTCGTATGTAGGGTAGAATGTGCATGTGAGTGGAAGTACTCATAAACCAGAGATATTGGGCCCTCTGGAGCAAGAGTTACAGGTGCCATAGACTAAGCTAGAGGTACAGGTAGCTGAGACCCACCAGGCTTGGGTGCTGGGAACTGAACTCAGGTCCTCTGCAAGAACAGTAAGCGCTGTTAACCATGAGATGTCTTTCCAACCCTGATACTTTGGGTGTATTGAGTGGTAGAATGCTTGTCTATCTTCTGCAAGCAAGGCTGTGGTCATTTGGTCTCTAGCACAACCAGCAAAACACAAACACCACACACATAGTGTCTCTCTCTCTCTCTCTGTCTCTCTCTCTCTCTCTCTCTCTCTCTCTCTCTCTCTCTCTCTCTCTCATTTTTCCAGACAGGGTTTCTCTGTGACTTTGGAGGCTGTACTGGAACTCTCTGTAGACCAGGCTGGCCTCAAACTCACAGAGATCCGCCTGCCTCTGCCTCCTGGGTGCTGGGATTAAAGGTGTGTGCCACCACCGCCTGGCACGTGTTGTGGGGTGCCTTTGTGAAGTACTAGTTCTTCTAGATGAGAGTCAGAACAAACCCCACACATCAGATGCTTCTTGCTCTTTGATTTTGAATAGCATTACAACAACTAAGACTTCTTTCGTGACTTTAAACACTGTTGAAAAACTGCAGGCATGGTGATGCACTTGGGAGGGACAAACAGATTTCTGTCAGTTTGAGGACAGCTTGGTCTACCCAGTGAGCTCCTGTCTCAAAAGA